AATTTGAAAGGTGAAAATGAACAACTAAAAAGAAATGCTGATATGATAAATGAAAAGCTAAAATCTCTAGAACAGGAACATAAAAATAATATCACCAAACTTGCAAATGAAATCAAAATCAAAGAGGAGGAACATAAGAAAGAAATAAGCAGACTTTATCAAGATATGCAAAGAAAAGTTGAATTAAGTGAAGAAAAGCACAAAGATCTAATAAAGAAAAAAGAGATGGAAATTTCAGAGTTAAATGCAAAGTTAGTAACTCAAGAAAAGGAAAAGCAAAATGAGATAGGCAAACTACAGCTGGAGTTTGATGCCAAACTAGCAAGAGTTCAGACTAAATCAAAATCCTATCCAGATTCTACTATTTCCCCACAAAGTATCTACAGAAGGAAGCTTCAACATCTTCAAGAAGAAAAAAACAAGGAAATTGCAATTCTTCATAATACCATTCAGGATTTGGAGCAGCGCCTTTCTATCAGCAAAGACTCTCATCTTAAGCGTAGACGATTTTGAGTATAACAGTAAATTCATTAATTACTGTTTACTTTTTTAAGAGCAACTGAAAATTTCACTTACATTTTCAACATACGTCTAAATAATAAAAAAGAGACAGCTTTAAAAAAAAAGATGAGCAGAAATTGATAATTATACAAACTCTTCTGCAGATATACCTAAATATATCTTTTTTCCTTCTTTCATTTGTCCTTTTCCTCATCCCAATTTTTCTTTCCCATTGAAAAAATTATTTCGCTTTCACAGTATCTGTTGTACCTTTTAGATTTTAATTACCCTTTCAGGTCCTCACACCAGTGAGATAATACGGTGTTTGCACATGTGGATCTGATTTATTTCACTTAACAATATAATCTCTAGCTGCACCCATTTATCTACAAAAGCCTCAAATTTATCTATTTTTATAGCTGAATAATACTTCATTGTGTAAAAAATGGCATACCTTTTTAATCCATTCCTTACTTGATGGGCATTTGGGTTGCTTCTAAGATTTAGCTATGATAAATTGCACTACTATAATCATAGGTGCACACATATCACTGTGGTATGATGATTTCAGTTCTTGTAGAAAAATATCTAGAAGGGGAATATCTGGCTTGAATGGGACTTCCAATCCTACATTTTGAGGAATCTTCATACTGATTTCCATAATGGTTGTACCAGTCTGCACTCCTACCATCAGTGGAGAAGGGTTCCTTTTTCCCAGAAGCCTCTCCAGCATTCATTATTGGTTGAGTTCTTTTTATAATTTATTTTTTATTTTTGTATTTGTAGTGTCTCACTATACAACTCAGACTCATAACGATCCTCCTGTTTTCAGCCTCCCCAGCACTGGCATACAGGCATCTGCCACCATGCCCACACTTGCTTGCTGGCTCAGCACACCCAGGGGCGGGGCCAGCACAGCATGGGGTACCAGGCATGAAACCCCTGTCCCTGGTGCTTGTAACCTCATTGGTTGACCATAGTTTTGTCCCACCTCATGCCCACCTAAGTGAGTTCCCGTGTTCTCTGCCACCTTAGACCCGCCTCACCACATGGTTTTCCTCTATAAAAGTCCCTGGAAGAGACAGCTTCCTGGGGATCACACACTTGGGGCCCCCCTTCTGTCCCTCTCTGGGACAGCTTTCTTTCCCCCAATAAGTATATTCTGCTCATAACCTCCATTTGTTCCTAAAATTCATTCTTTGGTTTTAGAGAACACAAACTCATCCCAGATACTTTTCAGGTGAGGAGTTTCATTTTTCCCCTATATGATTTGGAGGTTCCCTATATCATTTGGAGGTCCCCCACCAGAGATCATTTGTTCCCTGTATCACTGGGAACGAGTTCATGTTCTCTAAAACTGAAGAATGAATTTTAGGAACAAATGGAGTTTATGATAATATATTGATTGAGGGGAAAGAAAGCTCCCATGTGAGAGACAGGAGGGGGACCCCGAGTGGATGGTCCCTGGAAGCTGTCTCTTCCAGGGACTTTTATAGTGTAAAACCATGTGGGTCTAAGGTGGAGAACATAACAACTCGCTTAGGTGGGTATGAGGTGGGACAAAACTATGGTCAACCAATGAGATTAGAAGCACTATTGCTCAGATAAAATTGATTAAGTCCAGGACCAAATGGGGAAGCAAGTCACATAGCAAGTGGGCACAAATATAGCATAGGACTTTGTCCAGTAGCTAGCTGGTAGTAGTTGGATTAATGATTCTTCTGGCCTTCCTCAGGGTGATGATCAATCCTGGACGCTAATCTTTAGGGAAGTGAGCATTTGTTTGATCCTTGGTCTTCAGGTCTGGCCCACAGCAGGGGCATCCATCTCTCATATCTTGTCTTATCTCCTTCAAGGGCCTAGCCCTGTCTGACTACCTATAATATTTCTATCTAACTCAGCTGTCTGCAACATTATTGGCCTTAATTCCCAGGGCTGCACTTTTCTTCTTTACCAAGTGGTTGTTCGCCAGGTGTCTTGATTCTAGGTCTCAAGGAGGCTGCATTTTGCTGCCAGAATTTCCTCTGCCATTTTATCTCCCTATTAAGTTTTATAGTAAGTATAGATTTTGGATTTATACAACACAATCAAGATATAGAATTTTTCTGTTGCCACAATCTCTTTGTGCTATGCTTTCATTATAACTAAATTATTTCCAAATGTAGGCAATCAGACTGGGCTGGATCCTGGAAAGGTCAGAGCTGAAGACAACTGTGGCCTGAGGCACATTCACTAAAGGACAGGGTTCAAGAAAAAGAGGAAGACTGCACCCACATTCTTCCCCTAGGGATGAGCAACAGTAGCTGATATTCTAAATGGGCATCAATCACTGTGGGTCCCGGACCAAAACCTGCTTAACTCACCACTTCTAAAAAAGTCCTTATCCATGCCTTGTGCACCTGCTACATGACTTGCTTTCCAAGTTGTTCCCCACTTAATATTACCTAAGCAACTATACTTGTTTTAATCTTATTGGTTCACTATAGTTTTGTCCCACTTCACACTCATCTTGTGATTTTCCACTGGATCAGTATTACCTAAGCTATTATACTTGTAATTGTGTTGGTTCATTATAGTTTTCTTCCACTGTCCACCTGCTTCACCTCATGGTTTTACTCCTTAAATGTCCCTTGAGAAGCAGAATCTCTGGCAACCCACTTGAGATCCCTTCTGTCTTTTCTTTCTTTCTTTCTTTTTTTTTTTTTTTTTTTGGCAGTGCCAGGGATTGAACTCAGGACTTTGCACTTGCCAGGCAAGCACTTGTTCTACTGAGCTATCTCCCTGGCCCCTTTCTTTCTTTTTTTTTTTCCCAATAACCACAAAGGGATATAAATATTTTATTTATGTATTTATTTATTTATTTTGGTGGAACCAGGGATTAAACTCAAACCCTTGCGCTTGCCAGGGAAGCGCTTATTCCACTGAGCCATCTCCCTGGCCCTGTCTTTCTTATATAAATGCTTTTCTTTCTTTCTTTCAGTAAATACTTTCTACTCTAAACAGTCATTGTTCCTAGAATTCATTCTTTGGTTCTAGAGAACATAAACTCATATTGCACATCTAGCAGGTTGGGAGTTGTATTTCCCATACATTATTTGGAAGACCTGTATCATCCCTATATCACTTTCAGGTTATCTAGATTTTTTCTTTGTATTCCAGGGAAGCAAGATGGACGGATTCATTGCTACAAACTCTGGAAAGAATTGTCCCCTGAGAGCTGGCTCTAGCAACTTCCACAAATTCAAAATTTTTAAATAGGTTAAAATATTGTTTAAAAATTGAAAAATTAAATTTTCTAGATTACTTTCACAGTTTTTGGGTGGTGGTACTAAGGATTGAACTCAGGGCCTTATGAATGTACATACTGTATCACAAAGAGCTACCCCCATTCCCAAATTTACAAGTTGAATTGAGGAAAGAACAATTCACAAGTCAGGCAGCGATCAGAACCAGAAGAGGTTTAAAGAACTCTATTCACAATGTAAGCAGGCAGAATTTATGGACAGAAAACAACAGTGATGTACAAAAACAGCTGGGCATTTCATTTATTTGTGATTTGACCAGTTAGCTGCCTATGATTAGTATAATATGGCTGCCATGGCTGGAAGTGCTTGGGTATGTATTACAAAAATGTACACTTAGGTAGGCTTTCCCTCATGTACTAACTTAGGTTGCTGGACTTTATGGAAGGAATCTAGGTACAGAGGCATCCTAAGGCCAAATTTAGTTTATTTTAGTAATATTCGTGTTGTAGGCAGCTAAATTAGACAGAAATATTATAGGCAGTCAGGCAGGGTTAGGCCCTCAAGGAGACAATATAGAAGTCGAGGTGACTTTGCAACTTTGGAAGAGATAGACACTTAAGGCAAAAGAGTAAATAAATGCAGCCACCTCCCTAGAGATGGGCATCAGGATTATCAATAACCTTGAAAGAGCCCAACACTTACCCAGCCTCCAACAGGAAGAGGCGGACTTTCATATTCATACCCCCTTGCTATATGACTCACTTCCCCATTTGATCCCAATTTAATCAATTTTACCTGAGGAATGGTACTTGTAATCTCACTGACCAGTTTTGTCCCACCTAATGCCACCTAACGCAACAGTTCCCTTGTTCTCCACCTTAGACCTGCCTTACCACATGATTTTTTAAAAATGTATTTTAGTGCAGGGGCTACAAGATCTCACGATCGATTTGTAGTGATCCTGTTTTTATCCTCCCAAGCAATGGGATTACAGGCGTGCGCCACCACGCCTAGACTTTACCACATGATTTTACTCTATAAGAATCCCTGGAAGATACAGCTTCCAGGTTCCCTTTCTGTCGCTCTCTGAGGAACTTTCTTTCTTCAAATAAATATATTTGGCTCTTAACCTCTGTTGTTCCTAAAAGTCATTCTTCAGTTTTAGAGAACACAAACTTAGCCCAGGTATCTTTCAGGTTGGGAGTTTCATTTCCCTATATCATTTGGTCAACATTATCTTAGATCATCACAATATAGTTTTAATCTATAACATTATAAATAGTTAAATACTGAACTTTAGAAATGTATCATTGACCTTCATTTTTTTGGCAATCATTTTTAGCTTTTTTTTTTAAAAAGCTTTCTATTGTAGAATGATAGTGTTTTTAAAAATGCAATTTTAAGCTGGGCATGATGTTGCATGCCTGTAATCCCAGCATTGTGGAGGCTGAGGCAGGAGGACTGCCATGAGGCCAGCCTAGTCTACATAAAGTTCAAGGCCAGCCTGCACTACACATCAAGACCCCATCTCAAAAATAAAGCAATTTTAGTGCAATACCATTTCCTGGCATTAGTACTTAACAAAAAAGATGCCTTGTTGTTTAAAATGATTAAGAGTGTCATACACTTAATTTGGCACTCGTATAGATGAAAAGGAGGTGTTAACAGATTCCAAAAAAAAATTTTAAAGTGGTGATTGTTAGAAAATAGTGATTCACAATCTTCCTAACATGGACTGTGTAATTAATTTTGTTCAAGGCTTTCCAAGCTGAGAGGCAATAAGTTAATGGAATGAAGAAGGTATTTCAGGTAGCCCCTCAAGCTAATGATGCCAAAAGGTACAGTGACCAAAGCACACTGATGGCAGCCTTCT